TGATAATGGAGACTTGTGTACATAAAGTAAGCTGTTTGCATGAAAACCACTATCTTCCCCACACAGTAATAAGCAAATCTGTGTTCTCCTGCTGCAATCATGGCACCAACTGAGATTTCACAGCAGATTTAATGCCAAAGCAGCCCATGGAAGGAGTCTGCAGCCAAAATTGTTTTTTTTTTAAACCATCATATCCAATCACAGGAGAACCGTAGATGATATTTAAGATGCAAAAGGACTGAGCAAATAATAAGAAAGATATGATTCCATCAAAATAAAAATAAAAATTATTAGGAAATCCGATGACAATCCAAAACAACCATTAAACAAACCCAATTAAGTGAAATCATTGCAGCCTGGATTAAAATAAAATGTGGATCAAGACTGGAAAGGGTATCTAAACAGTGAGCACAAGAAAAGAAACAGAAAACATTTCATGGGTATAAGACACATAAATGTGAAAGGAAAACAGAGGAAAAAAAAAAAAAAAAAAAGACTTCTGGCATCACACCCCAAGAATGTCAGCAATGAGCCTACAGACCACATCCCAAAATGTTTAAGTCAAATTCAGGACCCCATCCAGACCTATAGTAGCACTGAGAAGAATAGATAGAAGGAGGCCCAAAATGACGATTCAGTGAGCATTGATCTGCATCACATGATTCACAGTTTTCTTTGAAAAGTGGCACACTACAGGTACATTGGAAACATGAAAACATCAGATGTGGAATGATCCAGGTCGTGGATGGATTTTGATTATAATTGATTTTTACAATCAAAATAAAAAATAATGCTAATCGATTCATCTGTTGTTTTTTTTAATCGGAATGACAAGAATTAATGGTTTAAAAATGTTTTTTTTTTGTTTTAAATGTACATGTAGGTTTATAAGAAATCCTCTCTAAATGTTGCTAGAAATACACAAATAGGACATTTGTAAAAGGGGAGGACAGACAACAAGAGGCTGTGTGAACCAAACAACAGCATACACAAAACAAGTCTGTAATGCAGCTAAACAAGTGGCAGAGCAGACTAGTCCAGTCCTGTCTCCTCACTTCCCTCCCATTCTCCCTCTTGCAGCCTCCTCGTTTCTATCTCATGCTCCTTTCCTAGGATCACAGGGAGGGTGTTACAGCAGCAGTGATAGCACATGACAAGGTGACCTGTGCCCCACACAGGATGGGCTAAACTGGGGTGAAAGGGGTGGGGGGGTCTCATCATGTCCCATGTCCAGCTCTCTAGTCTCTAACCCCCCCTCACAATTTTCAAACACTGCTGACCAGCGAGGGGAGAGGGGAGGCAGTAACGGCAGGCTGCCCCCTTTATGCTGGGCCCCTTGCTGGACTCTGGAGAGGGGAAAAGACACAAGGCAGGGAGAGGCCCGCTCACACACACACAAACACACACACCAAAAAGTCCCTTTTATGTCAACGCCGAGGACGACAAAGAACGCACATTATATAGCATGCTGAGTTCAGCACACAGACCCCGACAGACAGACGTGGACATGTGGCAGGTGGGTGCAAAAGCACTTAGTCCAAAAGTTATGTAACTCTCCATAAAACCAAACAGCCTTTTTTTGCAGTACATACGTTTCATAAAACAAACTAGATAAATAGACAGAGTCAATGAGCTTATTTCTGACAGCAAATGGGACCGGCATCTCTACATAGACGAATCTACCAAAAAAAAAGGAGTTTAATTTCCTCTCCTGTTCCTAAAAACACGTCTTTTATCCTGGAAGGCCTCCTTTCCATCTGCCTGACCTTTAGATCATCGTCTGAGGAATTTTTTATTGCGTGTTTATATTTTCAGATTTAAAACCACACAAAACTAAAACCTACAAATATGATACATAAATTTAATCCTGTTTGCTTTCTGAACCTTTTCGACACGCCTTATACTTCCGTTGAACTGCAGTAGGCAGATGAAAACAGAAAGACTTTAGGAAGAACTAACATGTTATTAGTTTCAAAGGAACTGAAAAAAAGTGGTAAGAAACATACACTCACTTGAGCAGATTAAAGAGGGTCTTTACAGTTAGGTTAAGTAGTATCATACTCTGTATGTGGTCACATGCAGGAGGAAGCAACCAATTACAACAGCCAGAAGGAAAAAAAAATTTCAGGAGTAGGTTTGGTGTGGGGGAATTAGAAAAAAAAAACAGCTTGTACCACCTCCACCGGCCCACTGCTCCATAAACAACCTGCCACAGCTTGATTCAAAAGTACAGGGTCCCCTGTTATGAAATCTGAGTAAAGGTCTTCCTGAGTCCCAGAGAACAACAGAACGTACCCTCAATGGTTACCTCAGTTTGAAACAGATCTTTGCTATAGTCACATTAATGAAGCTTCCAACCTTTACTAAAACATGTAATACTTTACATTTTATTCATGAAAACAATATCCAAAAGTCACTTAGCTGTTTACATTGGAAAAACATAATGGTCCCTAAATCAGGGGAGTTGCCATCTTGCAATTTACCTACAAAACAATCCAATGTAAACCACCATAATGAAACCTTTCTAATTCACTTTCTAGGTGGTGAGCAGCTAAAAGTGGACTGTGGTGCTAGAATCTTAAAGAAAAACAGCAAAAAATATTCTTACAGCAGGTATTGATTATTCATCATAATGAACAGTGGCAGAAATCACCATGACAGATAAAGCGATTGCAAACAGCAAAGTACGATGCATCCGTCACAGTGGCTCAAATATGGTTTCAATCTTACAGATGCTTAAAAATAAGTCTTTGCAAATACTCTGCTGAGCATTTGCAAGGACTTATTTATCTTTACAAAAAGTAGTAGCAATAAAAAGTTACATAATATCTATGCAAGGTCAAAAGTAAAAAAAAAAAAAAATGAGATCTGAACCATAAATAAGCTTCTTATTTAAATCTATTGGGCTAGTAAATCTGCAGGTCAGCCTGAAACGCACATTACAAAACAAAACAAATTATTATTTTCAAGGAGTGACACAATTGAACATGACACATTTTATAAAACTAGCATCAAATTGAACATAACTCACTATTATTTAGAGTTACATCTATTGACATTGGTAAAAGATTAACAAGCCAAGCACCAATGAAGGATGCTTGCTAAGTATGGAGAGTCCTTTCTGAATTAAGAGCTTGGTTCTGTGGTAAACATCACACTGTTAATTGCTGGATTTGCTGATTTTTCCAATGTGTGTGGTTTTGCTTCGCACAGTTGTAATGTCAGGGGACCTACATTTGTCCGAAATTTGCTTTTGTAACTGCTCAAACCTTTAACTCAAACAAGTAACACTGGTATTACATGAGAATATTTGTATTGCTCTCCTTAATTTTGACTTTAAAGTCTCTAAGGCTCACCATGACCTTTCAAACCCACTTTACCCATGTGTTTTTTCCTTGTTAAGTCCAATATACTGTTTTTCGGTTGGTTGCCATTTAGCCCCTTAACCATTTTATTTGCAAAATGCAAACAACACTGGATACAGTGTTTGAGTATACGCTGAAAAGTAACAACAATTTTAACAACCCCAGTTAAAAGATATACCAGTACAAAGTACAAATAATATCACAGGGTTCCTACAGCATAAGGCAAGTTAAATTCAAGACTTTTTAATGCCACTTTAAATAAAACCAACTTTATAATAAACACAAGAAATACCTGGTAGCGACAAATTTACCCCAAATGTTTATTTTATTACTTTCTGGCCCAGTAGATATGTTTCAAATATTGAAAAATTTTCCATGTAGGAAGAAAGCTAAAATGAACTGAATTCACGTCGTTCGGTAAATGTAAGAAATATTTTGTCACCTTTTTAATGTTTCATATGGATTACAAAAATAAAATCCTATTTATGATGCAGAAACAATTTTAAGACCTGATTTAATACATTTTAATACAAAATTAAGGCCTTGATTTTATATTGAAGAATCCAATGCCTTTTAAGTCTTTTTAAGGATGTGCGGGAACCCTGTACCAACTTGAATATAATAATCCATTACCATAATTCGTGTTAATCGTTAGCAACAAATATATATACATATGTTATGGTCACTGACCTCTAGGAGTTTTCTTCATAAGCGAGATCGCTCTTTGTGTTTCAGATCTACCTGGCTGCTACAGGTGCAATGAGTTGAAGCTCGTCAGCCACCCAATAGAGCTTTAAACCTGAGATGTCAGGTCCCTTTTTTCTTTTATTCTCTGGGCCTTGATCTGCATTGATCTTTTCTGTGAGCTGAGTGTTGATATGTGATTTATGTTGAATAATTGGCAAACTGAAGCATTTCTCTGTTCACAGTGGAAGCTGAAAGGGGTCTCTGTCATTTTTGTTCAACTGTTTTCTCCTTTCTTGGTTAGTCAAGGAGTTCAGATTTTATACTTTCTTTTCAGTTCTCCGTTAGGAAGTGGTTTATTTTATAACTAAATAAGGGGGTGTTTTGTTTGTTGTTCTGGATTGGAGACCCTGATGCTTAAAGCTTCCCTGTTTTGCTGTCTACAGTATTTGTAAACTCCTGCAAATTGTGAAATAAAAATGTTCTACTGACATCATCTTGTAGATTCCTAGCTTTTGTGTTACACCCAGTGCCAGAACTTACCCTTAGTGGTCTTTTTATTTAAATTTTTTTTTTATATATATATATTTATTTATTTTTAATAAACCTGGATGCAAAACAGTTTGGTAACAGAAACTAAATGGAACAGAAAAGGGGGGCTTGAACTGGCAATGCATAGGCAAGAAGGTGAGGGGTGAATAGGGATTTAGTATTCACATTATTTCCCATTTTTAGCTCATTGTTTTTTTATCTTTTGTGCTCCAGCGCGTCCTTATTGTTTGCTGCTGCCTTTCTGGTTTGATCTTGAGCCTTCTGTGTTGTTGCCGTGATTGTGCATGAAAGCTCCAGCACAAATAAAACTATAACATGTGTATAAACGCTCCCACAGTACATAAACTCAATTAAAAAACACTGAAAATGAAAGTACATAAAAGAAGCAAAATGTCTCACCTGAGGTTTTAACATGTCCTTGCGCAGTGGGAAAGACTGGAAACCTCTCTTTTATTTTCTCTTTTATTTTCCCAGGTTGTTAATCCTGTTCAGTACAAAAAAGCAAAATGTCGCAAGTCATTTAGTGTGCCTTTACCCTCGGACCTGACCTGCAGTTGCTCTGTTTATGTAACACTCAACTATTTTCAACAGTAACACACACTTCTGGAGTGATCCTAAGGAAACTGCGTAGGTAAACACGCTGATAAAAATCAAACAATGTTTCTAATATGTTCCTCAGAAGCTTGGAAAAAGATGAGAAGTATTCAAACCATGAGCATTCCTTCAGTGGCTGCGAGTTTCATACCTCAGCTCAACTTTTTCCCCATGAACACCGAGCAGCCTTTTAATCCTCTTTAGTTGAAGTTCGTCGTCTTCACACTTTCCAAATGCTCGCTCCTCTTCATGTTGTGCGACAGAAAGAATAATAATAAAGATAGGAAATACGACCACGCTAGGTAAGGGTATATTTCCAGAAATGTAACGAGGACTTCAGGGGAGGAAAACGTCAAACTCGTACGCCCTTCCAGACGCTGGCACACACACACACACAAACACACACGGGGTGGGTAGTAGTAGCTAGCATTAGCGTGGATAGCTCGCTGCTTTAACCCTCAACGCGGCTCAGGTTCGGGTAATAAGCCTTTACCCGCGCGCGAGGCGCCAACTCCAAGTGGGGAAAAAACTGCAACCGACTAGCTTACAAGCTAATATACGTCAAAACTAGAGCGCACCTGCAGCAGTTCGACCAGAAATAGGGTAATCTTCTTTCTTCAGGACCCAAATAGATGGCCATTACTTTTTGTTATGCACCGCCCCTCCTCCTTTGGCTCTCTACTGGGGAAAAAGGGATTTCCCCCCTCAGCACCTACGACAGCCAATCGTAGCCCGACTTGAGCTGATTCTTGATGTCAAGCTCCCTTCTGATTGGTTCACCGTGGTGCTCCTCACTCGAAGTACCGCCCCGTCAAACAGGGGTGTGTCTTTACGTCAGAGGTAACGAGGAGGTAAACAACTTTGACCGCGTGAGGTTTAAAGCAACATGGTCACGCCGCTGATCTCTGAATAAAGTGACAGGCTCGTGAGGTTCCTGCGGCACCGCTTCTGCGTGGGAGGAAATAAAAACTTTCACTCAGAATTGGTGCGTTAATGTAAAGCGCAGCGGAATGTCTTTGTTTGAATTTGCTTTAGCTCTGCAAAAATCATATAACCTTATGAAAACTGCTACCGACGTCGAACGGTTGAAACTTTAAAATGAACGATGCCGATGTTGACGTGTTGTGTTTAATGCTTCCCAAATATAAATCTATTATTGTGACAGTTTCAGATATGTGCAGCGAGGCGTGCATGTTGTAGGGGTGTGTCTTCTCTGCAGTACGATGGTAGGCTGGAGCAGGGCGACACAGTCGCATGGCAATGCTGCTATGCGTTTTGCATTGCATGGGAAAGGGCAGCGTTGCAACAACAACAACAAAAAAAGGTAGACAAAATCGGATAATTTTGCCAGTTCATGTCGTTCGATCATAAGGTGCTTTATGCGCATCTTGGATCTCGGATAGATGGCTGAAATTGTGAAGATTTATTGAGGGTTGCAGCCTATTGTTCCACACTTGATTCTTTATGTGTTGCAAATACAACAAAAGCTAAAGCCTCAAATTTACTTTAGATGTTTTTCTATTTTTCTCATAATTTTTTATATTGAATTATTAAACTGAACTGCTTTTTAAAATTAAATATGCTTTACAAATCAGTCAGCTTTTTATTGCATAAAGAATGTTAAACAGATAACAGTTTTGTGTATAATTTAGCATGCTGAAAACAGGTTCTTTTCCACGAGGAAAGTCTCCCTTAAGTATTTTAAAACATAAACATTCACTATTTTAAACAATTGATTAGGTTTTTACATAAAATATGTAGTAAATTATTAAATGGTACAGTGTGTCACATCAAGCACAAAGGATCAGACCACAATTACTCCCAATTACAAAGGCTTGTTCTATTTGAACCTTACAAGACCAGGATGGAGAACAATAAACTAAGCAAATAATTTTGGTTAAAGAACCTGATATCAAATTAGATATTGAGGTGGGAGCGTCGTGGTTTGGGGATACTTTGCAGCAGCAGAGCCTGGTTAGCTGTCTGCTTTATGTTTTGTTTAAATATACTGCCATTATTTTCATTTCCAGAGGCATCAACGAAATTACATAAAGATTTAGAAGTGGATATAAAAAAATATAAAGTAAATATAAAACCTGCAGTAATAGACATTAATTAGTGGTTATTTTGTTAAGTTTAATTAAAACGAAAAAAAAAAAAAAAAAACAACTCTAAGATTTAACAATTGGAGCCATACTTTAAACATATCTTTCAAAATGTCCTCATTGTTTTGTCTATTAAGACTTTTTTTTGTTGAAAATATAAAACATTGAATCCTTTCCATTTTTTTTTTTTTGGGATTAAAACTGGTCTACAGTCTTTGGGTTTTAGTTAGTTTAAAAGAAAATCCCAACTCCATTGTGAGGAAAATTTCTGAGTACTTGCCAAATAGATTTTTAATCAACTACTTTCCAACCAAGCACAATGCTGTCATCACAATATGTTTCAAAGGGAATTTGAAACTGAAATCTCGATTGCAAATGTAGCAAATTGTAGTTGACAATAAAGATTGATTGATTGATTGATTGATTGATTGATTGAATCACAGTGGCAGTCAGCAGGAATCGTGCACAAAAATCTTTAAGTTACAGTTGTGATTTATTTAAGACCTAATGACTTAAGTTGTCTTTTATGGGTCACAACAGTCTACATTTTTGTGTAAATTGATTATAAATTCTCCTCTCCTCTACTTCTTCTTGCTCTTTTCATCCTCTACTCATATCAAGACTAAGTATGACTCCAGGCTTTCTCTTTGACATTATGACAAATTTTAGATTTCGATCACCATTTGAAAAAAAGAAAACTCACCTTCAGTACATGCCAATTCAGCCTATATGCACAATTTGGAGGTGTGTGCTTTTCAATTTTGCTAAATTGGTTTATTTCTCATGAAACGCAGAGCACAATGATATGTATTTGCAAGGTGTATGAGTATTTTTGCAGCTTTTGACAGTTCGGTGAGATCAGTTAATTTGCTGTGATCAGTTTTGTAAGAACAAGGACCCAATAGTCACAGAAGCCAAAATCATGGAGCTAAATTACCTGTAAGTGCTGCCAGATGGACATCAACATAATAAGGGTGTAGTTTGGGAATGAGGCAAGCATTGCCAACATGCCTTCAAATTTATGAATGACTAGCCACAGAATGACTAACCCTAAGCTTAGCATTCAAGACACTTTATAATGATCCATCATAATGTCATCATGCTTTGAGTATATTCAAAACAGCATGGGAGCTCTCACCCAATGGGGAGGGTACTATTTTTTGATGAAAACAAGAAGATCTTCAAGACTTTGCAAAGAGCATCTTCACCCTGTGTCATGTTGTGAAGGGAAACTGAGTTTTCCTTTTAAGCTTCCCAAATTTTTAGAAGGTGTCAATGTTAATTAAAAACCTCTTTTTACTTTGTTTTAATGGCTTAATATCAAAATCTAGAATGCTGTTTGAAGGAAAGAATTTTCCTGAATAAGTTGCTTTATCAGCAGCAAAATACTTGGAAGGTTGCATTTTGATTAAAGCTTATTCTATCAAAGAAAAAGACCAAAAGTCCAACACTCAATTTCCCCATACCTACATTCATATATTTTATAAGATCTACAATATATCTACAATATACACTACTAAGCAACAGTGTTTTCACAAACTATAGTTAGTAACAGCCCCCCCCCCCCTTTTTTTTTTTTTTTTTTTTTTACAATATAACACTGTTTCCATGTGTGTGGCAGTAAGGTCAGCAGAGGGGGCCTGAGAAGGTAAAGGTCAGATGTGCGTTTAAAGTGTAAACACCATAAAGACCCCAGATAAGGAGGGGAGGGGGGCTTATGAGAGAGGCCAGTCCAAACCCGGCATGCTCAAAAGAGCTGGAAAAACAAGAGGCATCAGTATATTTTTACTACTGAGTTTGATACCATTTTTATACAAACTTATTGTATTGCTTCCCTCTCTTTACTCTTTTACTTTTATTTCTGGATAACTTTTAAAAGTCAAAAATAGCAAAAAAAAAATGTATTTGAATATATTACAACAATACTTTAACAGAAATATGGCCCGCTCTTAGTTAATTAAGTCAAGTACATAAGTAAGCTATTTCAATTAATATGATGTGTATCAGCCTTTTATATGTCATTGTACTAAATTCTTCAAGAGCTGCAAAGAAATCAGTTGATATGTTCTGCTCTCTGAAACCCCCATGAGCAAAACCTTTCTTTCAAAGTGGCAAGAATTTTTACAACTAACATTCCCTCACTATTCTTGTCCATTCCACATTAGCAGTTATGTGCTTTTTACCCATTGGTTTGGCTAAAGAGAACAGACCACTCAACAATTAGCCTCACACCATAAACCCCAAGGACACATGTGCAAAGTTCACTGTCAGGGACAGACTTGTTTACGCCAGCTTTACATTCTAGCTGCACCTCAGAAGTTTCATACTCTTAGGCTGCCAGCTTCTTCAGCATGTGTCTAATGCATTCTTTAACCGTTTATTCATGTGCAAAATCTAATGGTGAAGTGTGTGCACGTAGGGCTCATGTTTGTGGGGAGTCGATTCTTGTCCTGTGGCTTGGCTGGTATCCAAGTCTGACACCACCTCTGGATCAAGCCGTTCTGCTAATGGTGGTGGTGGGGGGTTTATTTGGCTCCGCAGCACGCATGTCAGACATGCATCCTGGCCCAGCCATTTTGTGTCCTCAGATGCTCCAGTTCTTCACAGTGGGCTGGCCTGCTCTTTGGAAACCGGTAGAGTGGAAATCATAAATCAGAAATGACTGCCCCCCCTTAAAGTATTGCAGTCAGTATTTGTGGCAATGGCACAGAGACACAGTAACAGAGCCTGCAGTGAAAATACAACGTACTGACAGATGCATTTGACTCTGATTTTTATTGTGGTGTAAGAGGACAGTTTAGGATGCATAAAGCTTAGCTGAAAACATAACCAACAAATGTTTTCAGCAAAGGGTTATAAATGTTGAAACTGCCATTGCAGTCACAGTAGCATACTTAAAGAAAATACAGCAAAGAACTTCAGGAAAGGATAGAGAATCAAGATGGTGAACTGTTAAATTCTAAACTGGACTCTGCATCATGCATGCACAGAGCACTACTAACATTCATTGTTCTGCTCATTTTTGTTTAAAAACTTTTTTTTTTCTCCTTGCACTGATAAATCTTAATACTGCTGGACTTTATATTGTCATGTTATTTATTTCAGCTACAATCTCATCTTGTCTTAAGCTGTATTCAACGGAATTACTTTCTATATGAACTCCGTGCATACAAAATTACAATAGTTTGTCCATGTCTAGGAGAATCAAAATGCTACTCAGAGAATTTTTGCATGCACAGTGCCTCACAAAAGTCAAGTCCCTTAAACGTTTTCTACTTTTTCTCTGTCCACCCATGCAAAATGCAAATGAGATTTGCAAGAATTTTAACATTTCATTTAACTATTTAAACCGTCATCACGTTTACCACTATAATCCACGAGAAGATGGTCACTTATCTATACTAATATGCAGGACTAATATTATTTTTCAAAGAAGCAGCAAAGTGGCCCATGTTACGGTAAATCTGGACGAGCTGCAGAAATCCACAGCTCCAGTAATAGTGATAATCTTTCACTCTTCTGCTTCATTTAATTTATTTTCTTCAATGCTGCAGTATTTGTAAGTTCAAC